AAAAGCAAACAAATTTTACCATGCGTCATTCACCCGTAGTGAATAGAGATAGATAGAATTCCTATAGAATTTTTAGAATATATAGAGAGAATTCACTATCAGGCCTTTAGGTTAACAAAATATTAATGAGGAAAAGAGGAATTCTGTTTTTCTTTTCTTTTTTCTGTATTCTGATTATTCTGTATGATGATTCCGTTTTTTTTTCATTATTCTGAATAGGAAAAATTGTCATGATGATGATAGTGCGCTGAAATGAAGAATCAGAAGAGGTGAAAAGAAAGAAAAAACCAATTCATTCATTCAGTTTTTGTTTCATCATACATAACCATAACAATTCAAGAATGAAAACCAAAGAATTCAGAATCGAAATAGAATCATATATGAAAAAAACCGGTAAAATAGGGAAAAAGAAGAAAAAGAAAAAAGCATATTTTTGTCAAAGAATTTCCAACAACAGCCATTCTCATCTCATCTATCTACCTACCTACACATTTCGAATATGATATTTTTCTGAATGAATGAATATTTCTCTCTCTCTCTCTCTCCCTCAATGATAACCCGAGAGAAAAAACCGAACAAGAACAAATTGGTAACCTTAACACCAGGTAACCAACCATGCTCTATATATATAAATTAGGAAAACAAACAAACAAACAAAAAATCCAATACAATCACCTCAATACAACCACCCCCATACATATTTTTTTTCATTCATTCCATTTACGTTTCTGTTTTGGTTTTTGGTTTTGGTTTTGTTCGCTTTCCATTGATAATTACATTTTAATCAAATTGAATATCGATTGATTTCCTCTATCATTTCTCTTATCAGTTTTTTCTCCCTTGAAAATGCGCCAATTTCAACATAACCGATTGTCATACACGAACCATATTCTTGTTATACAGACATAGACAGACATATAGACAAACTCAAAACGTTTGCATAGCCGGTATGCAATCAAAATAAAGCATTTGACATTTTATTACATTAAAATGATACAGGTTTTTTTTTCTTTTGAACAAAAAAAAATCATCATAAAAAACGGTAACAAAATGAATATTTTTTTAAACAAAAAAATTTCAAAAATTTATTTTTTATGATGTTTAAATTGAATAGAATTGGATGGATGTTTTTTCATTTTGGCAATTGATGGAGAACGTAGTGTTAATTTTATTATTTCCATTATATTTTTGTTTCTTTTTTTATTTGATTTACGTGTCTATCGTTCGTCGTAATTCAATCTGTCGTAATAAGTTTTTTTTGTTTGTTTTTTTATTCGCATATTTCAGACATAAACACATTGTTCAATTCTGAATCTAATGAAATTTTCTTATTTTACGACCAAAAAATAGACACTGATTATTTGGAATTTTTTAAAAAAAACTTTTCGAAAAACAAAACACTATGCTATGATTTTGATTTTCCATAGAATTCATGAAGGAAAACATCATCAATGGATACTGCAGAAACCACACTATATGGCATCATCAATACCACCACGAATACTACACACACACGACACATGAAGAATATTCTTTTAATGAAAAGGCCATTATTAGATTATAAAAATGTTTAATAATAATAATGATGATTATTATTAATAACAAACGAATGAAAAGCATCATTTTTTGGCTGCAAACAACAATGAAAAGAGAATAGAATTAGTTTTTATTCAGTTCAATGAACAATTCAATGTTTGTCTTTGTGTCTTTTTTTTGGTTATTACATTATGGTATTTTCAAGTTGTTTTCAAGATTCAAGTCATTATAATCATTGAATGGTTTAATGGTTTAATGATTAGAAAAGAAGAAGAAGTCATTATTATCATTATTGGATTGTTTTTTGTTTTTTGTTTTTTCCAAACAAAAAACAAAAGCCTGGTTTAATACACCGTGTGTGTGAGATTATTATTTATTGGAATTTTCAATTTTTTCCAGTTAAAAATTGGAAAACTTTTGGAATTTTTCCAAGAAACTTTATGAAAACGGAAATGAGAAAATTTTCTTCAAATTTTTGGTTGTTTTTTTGTTCGCGGTACCGGCAAAACAAAATCCGATTAAAATTCATTGAATGAAACAACAACTTTGCAAAACAAAACAAAAAAAAACATGATGTGAGAAATAAACCAGAAAACACACAGAGAATTTTTTTTGCACAACAAGAATAAATTTTCTACTTTGCTACATTTTTTTTTTCTACGGAATAAAAAAACAAACAATGCACTCAATGCATTATTTTTGTGTGTCCTTGTTTTGTTTATCCAAACAGAATCTTAATG